AAAATTAAAAAATTAAAAAGAAAATTAAATTTACAAAAAATAAGAATTTAAAAACCACCGATTGGGCCTTTTAAATATTAAAATGACGCTGTCCAAAACGTTCCCCTGTCTAAGACAACCAAATTTCTCCTTCACAATAGGTGGCCGTTATGGATAATTCCGTCTGTCTGTTAAGATGTTTTCATCTTCGTCTATTTAAAAGGGTTTTGTGTTTGCAAACTGGTTATGGGGGCCTCGTGGCCTAGAGGTAAAGGTGATCGCCTTTCATCTAAAGGTCCCGGGTTCGAACCCGGGTAAGACGAAAAATGTTCTCCTTTAAAAGTGTCTCCTTCCACCTCCTTTCCTGCTCTCTAGCAATGTTCTGTAGTCTGCTTTTGTCTCTACTCTCTACCCTCACCCCCTCACCTCCTTTGCCCCATCCTCTGGGCTCCCGAATCTTTCTCCAGCCTTTCTACTGCAACTCCTTGGCTCCTTCTTACTGCTGTCTTTCAACCACAAACCTGTTTTTCTGGTAGGAAAGATCTACACCTAGCCTTCCTGGACAAGGGCGAACAATCTCGGAGGTCCCGTTTGCATGTTGCGCACGTTAAAGATCCCTTGGTGGTCTAAAATCGATAATAATCGACTTCCGCCGCCACCCGGGCAAAATTCGAAATTTCCTTCCGTCTGAAAATGTTCAGTGTGTCACGCGCTCTCATATCACCTTATGCAGTTGCGAGGGCCGTAAACACTTATCAAAAACACAAATAGTAAACTGATTCTTATGCTGGACACTGCGGGTTCACGTGTGAGCTGACGTTTTTTCCAAAACCAAAGGGTTAAAATGTTTGTTTTTCTATTTTGTTTTGATATAATGAACAAGTTTCTCGGCGCTCACAACTGTATAGGGTCATAATAGGAGCGCGCGAGACTTGGGTTGGCTGCATTCACGTCATTTCACAATAGTGTGTGGTTTTACTTCGATTATGCCACGAAGGTGGAGCAGCTGAGGGAAGAATATTATTTTAAAAAACCAACTCAGTGTGAGAGTGTAAAGGGCATGTCAGTGTTGTGCAAACACAAAGGTCGTCTCCTCTAGATAGTTCACTGTCGCTTATGTTTCGGGGTCGAATGTGATATTCTGGATATTGGGCTATCGGTTGAGAGGGGACAACGACGTAACTTACTTTACTTTTACTTTTTCATCCTGTTGCTGTTAAGTGTCGAGGGGAGATGCAGTTTTCTATGGTAGCTCTTTCAGGTGTGACTATTATGTTTTCTTAGGGTTTCATTGACACCCTCGCTCCACCTTTTGCGTGGCCTTCCTCTTCTTTTATAGCCCCAGCGCTTGGTGTTGTAGGCTGGTCAGGTGACACACGTACTAGATGGCCAAACCATTTTATTCTCTGTCTTTCTATATAATACAGGCAGGGCTCAACCACGTTACAACATTACTAAAATCAAAGAAAGCTGTTGCCTGTAATTGACAAGTGGGAGTTGTGGGAGGAGGGGGAAGGAAGGGTACATTGAAAATTTTGATAATGCTAATGAATATGAGTCAGCGTGTGTGGTTGGGGAGGAGGGGCATACACAGTTTGACCTCGCAATGGGTCACCTCATTCCCCCCTCCCCCCACCCACACTCCCACCAACCTACCACCCACACACCAGTGTCTTGCCGGGCCTTGAATAGCGTGTCACAACGGCGGGAAAACAATCATAATATGCAAATTTCTACGACCTGTCAGAGTTTGCATTGCAGAAGTGCTTTCAATGTTATTTTTTTCCAACTGTAAACAGTTATGAAGTGAGGATTAAATCTTTGTACCCCCCAACCCCCATTAAAAAACAAATTTAAAGCTGCTGACACTATTTCAATCTTACACATTCCTTCCCACCTTTTTGTGATACCCCCTTCCCTGTGAAATGTAAATTCACTGCTCCCACCCCACCCCCTCTTCTTCTTCCACTCCCCGTTTTCTCACAAACAAAACAAAACAAAAAACAATCCAGCCCCTACCACTTAATAAAAGCCCCTTCCCTGAAATCTGTAAATAAACCGCCTTCACCCCTCCTACAACCTCTCATTGTTTTCAAACAAACAAAACACATAAAAAAGCAAAAAAACAATCCAGCACACCCCCCCCTCCCGGTCCCCCACCATTTTGTGATACCC